CATTAATGGAATTTTTTTTTTGCTTATTTGGCGATGATTCGTGAGAAGTTTTATTGCGAAAAAATGGTGTGCCTTTAATGGGAGATAATTTTCGGAAGATTATAGTTGTAATTTAAATATGTGATTCAGAAGCTGAAATTCTTCTTATTTTTACGATGCAAAACTAGGTAATCCTCATCAGTAAATTAGATTTGCGAATAGAATTTGCCGTCCATAAATTTCTTTATATTATGAAACTGGATAGCTTTATTGATTTGTCTTTACTGATAGTTATCTCATTAAGACTGTAGCTGTTCAGTAATAATCCCGTTGGCAGACTTCTAAGCTGGCTAAGCAAATTAGATGAGAGATAAAAATATTAGGCACGGAACTAAGCGGGTTATTTACACTGTGGTATGGTCTCATTTTGGATGGAGATGTTGTGCAAATATGTTATGGGAATCAATGGGAATATTTATGGAATTCGTACGCATCCGGGGAAATCGGATGATGAGTCTATTTTAAGTCTGTATTGACTTTTAAGGGATAAGATGCTCCGTATTGATAATAAACTGATCTAAATACTTCCTTCAAACTTATTCCTAAACAACATACACAATAGATCTATTATTGGAATGGTTCTTCCGCATACTACAGTGAAATGTTTCAATATCCAATAATCTACATTTTTCCTTCAAAAGAAAATAAGTAGTAAAATATTTACGTTTGCAGATACCAGAGTTGATGCTAAGGTTAGTGTAAGAATTGAATTTTGGATTCTTTCTGGCTTTTACTAGGTATATGTTCCGCAAACTATGATTTGTGATATAATACTGAAAAACGTATCGCCAAATGTATCCATTGCAGCACTATAAGGTTTTACTGCACATGCAAGAGGTTCACAGTTTTGCAGATCAATACGTTTAAAAACCACTGAATTCTTCTATCGTAATTACCAATAAATGTGCTCTCGAGTCAAGCCAAATAATCCTTGGGTCGTAGTGTTCAAAACTGATCAATACTCCCCTCACCTCAAACAGCATGTGTTTGCAATTTTAAAACTGCAAGAGTTGAGCTGATTTATCTCTTTTTGATACTGAAACCTTCAATAATGAAATTTTAATTTATCAGTTCCGCACCCTTTGAATTAAGCTGCTCATCTTTTGAAATATTATTGTAGCTGTTGAATGAGTAATCAACGTTTTAAATATTAAAAGAAATATCATCGCAATTGCCATTGAACTCTAGTAAATTTATAATAATTTTCAGTTGTAATTGAATTTTTGTTTGATATAGTAATAAAATACAATCTAACTAGGTATCACATTTGCACTATATACCTGAAGAATCCAGTAGATCACCAACTCTGTCAATGGCACTGTAACTGTACGTACTAAATAAGCTTTTAAAAACTTCCATCAATGTCAAAATTAAATGTGAGTCACAATTGCCAATCACAAATCAGCCAAAATAAATTATTCACCTCATTATCTTCTGTGTGTCTTTCACAAAAAAAAAACCAAACTGGCCAAAAACAGACAACATGTGAATACTAATCATATTGAACTTCTACTCACAGACACGAGTGAAAAAAGAGAAAAAGCTGTTTATTTATTTTTACGATGATCCACAATATAACGGAATGTCCATTATTATGGTGATTTTCAGTCATTCGGGGAAAACAAAAAAAAAAAACGTCAAAAAAAGCAAAGCAAAGCGTTACTTTTGTATTTTAATATATTGATGATGACTTTTTAGTTTACAATTTAACGTGCTGTCGTATAGTCTATAAGAAAAGAAATTACATTAGAACATCAATTTAAAGGCAATTATTCTTCATTCCCTGCCATAAAAAAAAATTATTTCTTTGTTATTCAACGCGGTCAAATTGAGTCGAGTTTCGTTCTAAGGTTTCATATAAAAAATTCATATTCATACGCGAGGGTGGATTCTTCTTCAATGTGCAATTCAATTTGTTACCATTTTGAATCGAAACTTGTTCGCGATCGGCTGTGTCTTAAGCTAATAAAAAATACAATATTCAAGTGCATGAGTGCTTAAGTGACTCAACAATGTGAATGAGTATGTATGAAACTGTCGGTGATATTCTAGTGATGATGCACATAATTAACGAAACATTTAGCACATTTGTGGATTGGCTTAGTGATGTATTCATGCAAGTGGGATTAGCATTTATCATCTTATATGGATATTTGAGGCATTGGGTAAGTGAAATCTTTCAATGTCATTCATGCTATGGCAAAAAATCATTCGGAACAAAATTGAAGTGTAAAGCAGAAGTAGTAGCCAAATCAAAATTGATGTAATCGATTATTAATTTTTATGGTGGATTAAATTTGCATTAAGTCTTAATGAATAATTAATTAAAAATATGAATTATCGCACGATTCGCGAATTTCCAAGCAAATAATTGATTGGCTTTAAGAAATCGTCAAATCTGCCAAAGTCTGTCGATTTATAGAAAAAATAAAATGAAATTTCAAATTCAAGACAATGTAGGTGAAGAGTTTTGCATATTTATAGCTTTGTTCTCACACTCTTTAGTATTCAAAGACTATACACACGAGTGAAAAGTGTGAAGCACAATGCAATACAGCGACACGTTCCTAATCCTCTGTTTTAAAAAACAAGTCGAAACGTGAAAGCAGAAATATAAAAAAATTATTCAAAATATAAATCAATAAAATTAGGGAGCTACCGGAATTCAGCAACCATAAACACACCCTGTCCAGGATTCTATTATGTTGTTGGATATAATGTTTGTAATTATCTTTTATGGTGTCTGCCTGTTCCTTGCTTCCATGCCGCCTCAATATTTTGTGAAAAATTCAAAACTCTTTGGAATAAATTTGAAAGGGAAGCGTAACAAGGCACGTGTGCTAATTGGCTTCATTTTTAACCTGGGATTAACATTTTTACGATCATCTCACATTTGCTAATACCGGCTAAATGGATTTGCACTTTCCACACATACTCAATTCTCTTTTATGCAGGAATATTCTTTAGGAGTCGTTCATAAATGATGTCAAAATGTAAAGTTTAGGGAAGGTCTGTCAAAGTTTAACACTTACAGACAACACAATTCTTTTTGGAAATGGGCTCTAAAATTTACATTTTCATATACGTCATTTATGAATAGACCCAGTAAATAAATTTTACACACTCAATATCAAACGCCAAGTAAGTTTCTTTAAGCATGCTAACTACTCTATGACCCATGAATATCAAAACTGACAGAAACAAATTCGCAAACTTATGAATGAGAAAAATAGTTTAAGGCCAAAAATCAAAACGCTTCAATTAATTTAATTGAAAGGAGCAGACTTAAACCAAATAATTGATTAATCATATGAAATTTTAAAACCATTGAAAAAATTGTGTAATGAGATAATAAAGTTATAATAAGTTGTAATCTAAATAAAGTTCTGGTCTTCTGACTAGAATAATTTTTATGTCTTTTAAGAGGCATTTCTCAATGATTTTATTGGTGTGCAGACATAAAAGGGGCCGTTCACTTATTACGTTACGTAAAAAAACGACTTTTTTCATCCCCCCTCCCCCCCTTGTTACAATATGTTTCAACTCACAACCCCCCCCCCCCCCTGAATGTTCATAATTTATTTTATCATTAAAAAGGTGGAAAATTTAAAAAAATGTTTTTGGTGTGAATTTGTAAACAATTTTTTTTTGTGAACTTTTTATAAAAGACAGACGACAGTTGGAACGTTACATACTTCTTGACCCCCCCCCCCCCCTATGTTACATTTTGTTACAAATTTTCAAACCCCCCTCCCCCCTAAAATGCGAACGTAATAAGTGAACGGCCCCAAATTACATCATAGAAATGAGAGAGAGAAGAAGTGCGTTGGATGAATTTGTTTTCTGAGCGCATTTTCAAAGTCATGTGGGAGTTCTATGTGCAAATTTCTTGCTGGTTGTGTCTTAGAATTAGTTTGCGTATAAGCTTTCGTTGCATTTTTTGACCTTAAATCAGTGTTGTCCAAACTGTGTGCCGCGGCACACTGGTGTAATTTTTTGGAAATGCCTCGAGATGTATGCTATGTGCAACTTTAATCATGGCTTACCGCTAAGGTGTGCCGTGGCTCAAAAAATTTGGACAACACTGTTTTAGATCCTAATCTTATTGCCTGGCGATCAGAGGTCAGTTCGTGGACTAAACGTTGTGCCTATCATTGACTATGACTGAAGATTTGGATAATCCTAGAAGATATAACGTCTTTAGGACACTGATGATCTCTTTTATTAAGTTTTTATGCCTAGCTTTAAGCTTGATTGTTTCACATTAAGCCTAGAACCACAGATGAACCTAGATAGCTTATTAATCTTTAATAAAAAAATCACAAAATATCTGAGTCACATACAGAAAATACCCCCAAGATCACATCACAAATTATCTCGTAACATCATCAGAAACACGACAGTCAGTTAAATAATGAATAATGCCCTCAATAACCTTCAGAAAAAAGTGCATTAAAAAGAGAGAATAAAGCATGTGATGAAAATTGAATAAAAAACTAAAAATATCCGAGAATATTTTACCCACATAGGCATAGCTCAGAGTTTTATTGAAATAATTGTCTGCAAAAATAATTAAGAACAAAACTTTAATTACTTCATAAAAACAATATAATAATAATAATAGTACAAGCATGTCATTACTTCTGATGTTTGTTATCTCTCCGACATTCTCTCTTTTCCTACATCGTCTCATTCGACTCGTGTTTATTGAACGGCAACAGCAGAAGCAACAGCACCAAGCGAGTCAAGTTAAAACATCAAAACACACTCAAAAAATGTACGAGGAACAAGAAGAAGAAGTCAACAAAATGCACAATAAAACATAACAACACCAAAAACTTGTGAGGGAAGTAAAGCAAAAAAGACAGAAGATTGCTGCAGAATATATTAAAAAAAATTGCGTGAAAAACAACAATAGACGAAAAAAAAAACTCTTCTTGATGTTGTTGTGTATATTGAATAAGGTAGAAAAAAAATCGCGAGCGTCGACTGAATGAATTCAGTTTTTTTACTTTTTTTCCGTTTACTCATTGCCGTTGTTGTTGCTTCAGTTCATATTGAAGCTTTGCCAGCGCTAGTCTGCAATTTGACTTTGCTGGAATTTTTTTTCATATTCATTTATTTTCATTCGCATTCTAGTTTTTGTTGTTGTTGTTTGCCGGATTAATAGAATGAACACACATACTGGAATATAAGGCAAAAATAATTTGTGTTAAATTGCGTTATCAGTGAACAAACATTCGAAGTTTCGAATATCTAATATGCAAAAAAATAGTGCTATATGGAAATGAGTGAAAAAGAACCCCGATCGATGTCGATACACATTTATCTTTATTAAGAATTGAGAATGTGTGTGTGCTTATTGTATATTATTACACAATAATGACTCGATTGATAAAAAAAGTAAATAATCGCCTGTTGTTTCAGTAATCGACACAAAAAGAAGCGAGCATTTCAGCCGAAAATAAAAAAAAATTAATTTTTTTGCGGTGGAAATAGAAAATCGTATAGGAATAAAAATTAATTACCGTTTTTAAAAGAAAAAGTGGCTAAAAAATAAAAATAAAAAAGTTGCGTGAAAGTTAATTTTCGAAAAGAAATATTTATTTATATCCATAGAAGTGTGAGATGTGTATTTAATTTGGTTAATGCAAAAAATAATAAAAATAAAAGAAAATCGCAAAAATTGATTTTAAGTGAAAATGTAGTTGCAAGCTATGCACACATTTTAAACTAATTAACATTTTTCATTCATAAACTGACCGATTACATTGATTTTTCTTTGCGCCTATGTGTATGAGAAACATTAGCAACATACAAGCATAAATTACACTATCATCGATGTTCTTACAATTATGGCTCATATTACTATCGTATGGCGTGCAATCATTAAGAAATATGAGAAGGTGCGGGATCCGTTTCTAGGAGCTGTAAGTTATTATTCTAATTTTATTTTAGCACGTTTTTGACGTAAACGTTTTTGACATGAAGTAATGGACTGGGGCATGGGGGTTAATGGCGCATTTTATTTGATGATGAATTGTGCTGTACATCGTTGGCAAATGTTTGGTTTTATCGATGGTTATTTATGAATGACGTCACTGTTTGAGATCCTCTATAGCAGTAGTGGCTAACCTTTGAGCACCTTGAGGTTAAGCTATTGCCAAAATACACAGAGCATCACTGCCCTAGAGCTAGTGCATAGCTAGAAATGCGCCTAGCTTATGGGGGGGGGGGGGCTCCCAAATCTTAATAAGGATTTTCATTGAAAGGGGCCTTGGTACGAAACCTACTTGCTTGTAATTTGCCAAAGATATCTTTTATCACCTCTCCACGCCAACGGCCCAAGAAGATCACTTTTCATTCGAAAATTGTCACTTTACTGCACTGAATTAATTTTAAAGTTGCAAATATTGGAGCCATAAATCACAAAGATAAGAAACCAGTATTAAATTAGACAGCCAAAGTGCTACATCTGTCCAAAAAATGCATAATATGTTAATAATTATCGATCATTCTGCAGATAGGCTTGTCGGTACCCGTAAATTAGTTTCTAGAACAAAAGCCAAACACCGTTTAGCATTAATAGACTTCCTTACACTTTAAAGTATTTCCGTTATTTTGTGGTGTGTCGAAAAATAATTTCAATAACAATCTTGTTAGTAATTTTTAATTTACAAAAGAAAAACCCCAGAAAAAATTGAATGGAACTCAGTGACTAATTTTAAATCTCGAAAAAAAAATTTCATGTCCACAACTCGTAGAAACACGTGAATAAAGGCCTCAACCAAGTCAATGCATTCATTAATGTATAATTATGTTTAAAAGAAGAAAAAAGTTCTCCATTGAATGTACATAAAAATGAAAAATTATAGAGCGCTTAAAGCATCGGCAATTAAACGATTCTTATTCTCCTCATATTTTATTTCCACTTCACTAATAAAGTGCGTAAAGCATACATGCAGACTTACAATTGAGCGGCACACATGTGTTTAAAGTTAGAATGCAATTGGATGATATTTAAAAAAATAATAGTAGAGGGTCGTTCATAAATGATGTCAATCTTTTTTTTTGAGGGGAGTCTGTGGATCTGTGACACTTTCTGACAGTAGAAATGGAAAGGTGTTTCAAATCCATTTTTAAAGACATCATTTGTGAATAACCCATAGAATAAAATATACAAAAAAAATCAAATAAACGAATGAATCAGCCGACCAGATATACATGAACATTATAGATTTTTTTTTTATTTCTATGCTGCGATCGCATAACAAACAATTGAACAGCACACTCATGTAAGTTTAATGACAAGCCCAATCGTCAATAAATGTAGTTTTATGTCTAATCGTTTTTCAAGTCTCATAGAATTCTCTTCAGTCAGTCTTTGTTGTGTGCCGTTTTTCGCGTGACTAATCGTTGTAATAGAGGACGACAACGCATTATTTTATTGCAATACATGAATGAGATATGGCTTTTATGATGAACAGAATATAGATTGACTAATGAATCTATACATCGAGGAAAGAATAGAACGAACGGAATATGAATGTTTATATATACGTATGGTAAATAGATGAAATATTGATGAGAATGACTCTTGTTCTTCTTTGTGCATCTTTTATGAAAGGAAAGGGAATTTGTGTCATCGATTTGTCTTTATTGTGGGTTTGTGTCGTAGACTTTTGTAGGTTATTGAATTAAGTATAAGTTTTTGAGTTGCTATTTGACATTTTTGGATAGATTAATGTTGAATTTATGTTTATGAAAACTTCTGAAACTAAAGGTGCTTCCCAAATTTATAATGCACTATTTCTTATCGAATCACATAGTTTAGCTTTATTATTATTATTATTATTATTGTTTTATTTATTTACTATTAGAAGCTAGAGCCGTGTCATAGCTTGGGACTTTCGTGCTCCTATTCATAGAATTATAAGAGATTTTGAACATGGGCTCTTATTCGGAAATATTCCAGTGAAAAAGCAACTACAGATCAAATTAATTTCCTTTTATAACATTCATTCCGATTTCAATCAAACCAGAAACCACTTCGCATCACATTTGACAAAACGACAATTGATCATTTGACTCTAGTAGCCTATAATTTGTCAATCAAATGAATGCCAAGGTGATACCTTGTCCACTTGAGTACTCTGTAATTTTCCAACATGCATTAAAAAATGCGCTCCACATTTTTCTATTCTCGAATTACCTAAAGAATGTCAGACACATTTGATAGAATACAATCAGAAATTATAAATGGAAATGGAGAAAAAAAGTCTAATGTCATCTATTTCAATATCTATCGCATTATCCGTCTGCATACAATATACAAGAATAATAACAACATTCGTAATGTCATTCCTTAACACCTTTCTAATTTAAAATTATCTGCATGTAAATGCAAGGGAATTGTTCAAAAATTATGTTTAATATTTCATGAAGAAGAAATGAATCAATATGTTTCTAGCAACTTAATCTAGTATCAAGAAGTTGGGTCGATTTTGTATGGCGGAGTTGACTCGACTCCATACAAAATTTCATCGACTTCCAGCTCTGGTTTTTAGCAACTTACTTTAGTATCAAGAAGTTAGGTACTACACTCTGTCCTTAGGAGCCATAGAGAGCATCCATAAAAGCAAATTGTCACTACTGGGTTTGAGTAAGTGTTTTGTTTCAGAAAAAAACCTGTTCAAATCGAATCTACTCAAATCGAGAACCCACATTACTTTATTAAGTCATAATACATTAGAAACTTTCTGTAAATTTTTTAAAAATTTTAATTGATTTTTTAGAGCCTACAATAGAAATTGAGAGCTTATGAAGTTCAAAAAATCATATTTCACAATAGACGTCATCTCTGAATGCCCCTCAATATTCTCCCATTCCTCTAATTTCTGAAAAGCGCACTAAAATAACAAAAAATAGAAAAATTTCATCGTTAGAATATGAATAGTCAATTTAGTTCGATAGATCGTGTTAGCAGAGATGAAAAGAGTAGAAGTTATATAGGTAAATGGACAATAGTTAACAGTAATATAAATTCTATAGTAAAAAAATGACCACAACTGAATAACAGCGATGATTTAAATGACCTGATATCGAGATGATTTTTCATTTTCATTTCTTTCGCTTTTTTCGATGGAACAAGAAAGAGGAAAAAAATAATATTCGGTGTTAATTATAACTAAAATAGAGGAAGAAGAGAAGTTGTTTTTATATAAAGGTAGACAAAAAATTTTTTTAATTTATTTATTTTATTATTTTTATGTACCCGAATATGCTCGCAAAAATTAAGGTCAACTAGAGGTACCTGAAATAGTGTAATATGACTTTGTTCATTCATCTTTCCATTATTTTAGACAATCGATTGTGTTTTTAACTTTTTATGCCATAGCTGTCGATAGATATAGAATTTTTCATTACTCTCTTGCGTCTTTATAAAGTCAGATTTCTATTTTTAATGAAAAAAAATTCTATTATTTGAAGGTTGATAATTGAGTAACAAGAAGAAGAAAAGACGAAAGATTTATTATTCACTTCCATTTAGAAATTTGATAGTTTGCAGAGCATTAACTTTAATTTCGTACACACTTGAATGATTTGGGGTTAAGAAATGGAAAGAGAGATATTATCATATATTCATAATTTCTTTCGTATGCTTGCGAGCATATTAATGTTGAATTAGAAACAATTTTTTTATTTTCTAGTTATCGAGGAATTAGAAGAGGTTGGGGAACTCATCATGCAAATTGTGTAATGTTGTGTTTTGAATGTTGAGTAGGTTGTTCGTATAAGCAGTGAATTGTGAAGTTTATTTAATTCGGAAGTGAATATTGAGTGTTCAAGCGAGTGATATTTGGAATATGGCTATATTCTGGCTCTGCAAGATTCAATTATTTTCATCTATTATCAAGAAAGGAGGCAAGGGGGGGGGGGAGACTCATGCTTCTCAAAATACCTCTCGCTACAACACTAGCTATGATTAATTTTAAATAAGTAACCTGAGTCTGTTAAGCTACCTAAAACATCTGTACCTAGACAAAGGCCTTATTATCGATTATAGCATAAAGATTAACACAGATTAAGACCTTACTCAATTTATATCTTTATAATAACAATTAAGAACCCTTCAAATTTCTTCAATTCCTATTTCATTCTATAAAAAATTGCTTCACAGTTATCAGCCAAGCCTTTTCACAAATATCATTTATCCAAGTTTTTCTTAAGGTCAAGTTTTTATTGCACAAAAATCCAGCTTTTTTGATAAAACAAATTCCATAAAATTTTCATGTTTTTTCTTATCTTCAATGTCGACATTTCGGCAACTTAAAGTGATATTTTTGAGAACTTCAATTCAATATACCAGAAGTGGACCCACAAAATTTTCACAACAACTCCTCAAAATATTCTTGAATTTTTAATTTCTTCCATCTGCTTTATTGACTTACGGTATAAAAGATAGATAAGAAAAGTAATTTATTAGTTCTTCAAGTTTCGTCTTGCTTACTTTTGTGGTGCTTCATACATTTGACATAATAAATTAAGTCTAATATAGTTGACAAATTACTCTACTATTCTCATGTCATACATTTATCATTCGCGAATATATTTCTTCGTTTTTTTTCGCATACTTCACATGATCTAATATTTATCCATCGTTATTATACTTAGATACAGTTCATTTGAATAATAATGAGATTATTAGGAAGAAACGAATGAAAAGAGAAAAAAGAAATTAGAGCAATGTCGCTAATTCTTTGTGATAATTTCTCACCCATAATCGTTTGGGTAATTTACTTTCAAGGCTAATGACAATAAAGGCAAACAAAAAAAAATATGTTTCGTGATTTTCATATTTAAAGTACGATTCAAGCTCGCCGGCATTTCAACCTATGATATGGTCCCCACCTAGAAATTAGTAAAATGG